CAGTGAATGGAAACCCTCTATTCTTTAGTAAACTCTATCTCTATATAGTAAGGAAAACTTATAAAATCTTTGAGAGGGGCAGGCGCCGTGGCTTACTTGGTTAATCCTCCACCTGTGGCGCCGGCATCCCATATGGGTGCCGGGTTCTAGTCCCAGTTGCTCCTCTTCCAGTCCAGCTCTCTGCTGTGGCCCGGAAAGATAGTGGAGGATGGCCCAAGTGCTTGGGACCCTGCACCCGCATGGGAGACCAGGAGGAAGCACCTGGCTCCTGGCTTTGGATCAGCGCAGCGCCGGCCGTAGTGGCCATTTGGGGGGCGAACCAACGGAAGGAAGACCTTTCTCTCTGTCTCTCTCTCTCACTGTCTATCTGTCAAATAAAATAAATAAAAAAAGAATAATAACTAATAGAAATACAATGAGATGTAAATAGTCACACTTTGGGGGTAAAAAAAAATATAAGATGAAATTTAAGATGTGAACTACCAGTTTAAGGTTTCTGCCATGCAGAAGAACTTTGAGTCATGCAAAGCAAGCATAAAAATCTAGATTTGGTGCTTTGTTTTTATTTATAAAGATACTACATAGTGTGGAAAATCCAAATGATATAGGAAGAAAAAGAAACAGGGAATAGAGTGGGAAATCTTCCATGGAATGTAGGCCGCTGACATACTATAACATACCTGCCAGACACTGCACTCTGTATGTGTGACCACATGGATTTGTAGATACTTAACTTTTCATGTTTCAAAAAGAATCATAATACATATGCAGTTTTGCATTTGTATCTCTAACATAGTAAAATATCAAGGGAATATAGATCAGCATCACTTCATATGGTGAGTAAACACAAACTGTTGTATGGATATATCATAATTTTATTTAAACAATTTTCTAATGATACTTGTTTAAATAAAATCATTCCATATTTTAAATAATGCACAGTTCTGTGGTTATTTTCTTTTTTTTAGAAGATTTTATTTATTTATAGAGGTAGAGTTACAGACAGTGAGAGGAAGAGACAGAGATAGAGGTCTTCCTTCCGCTGGTTCACTCCCCAAGTGGCCACAATGGCCGGAGCTCTTCCGATCGGAAGCCAGGAACTGTGAGCTTCTTCCTGGTCTCCTATTCGAGTGCAGGGGCCCAAGCACTTGAGCCATCTTCTGCTGCTTTCCTAGACTATAGCAAAGAGCTGGATTGGAAGAGGAGCAGCTGGGACTAGAACCGGCGCCCATGTGGGATGCTGGTGCCACAGGTGGAGGATTAACCTACTGCACCAGCACGGCCCCCCCCCCTTGGTTATTGCTATCATATAAATTGCTAGCAGTAGTATTATTTGGTCGCAGGTATTGCACTTTTAAAATTTTGATAAATGTTTCAAAATTTCCCTCCAGAAAGCACATGAAAATACAATGGGACTGCCTTTTTCTGTCACACATATTGTGTAGTATCATTTTTTATATTTGTAAGTTTGAGACTTTTATTAGAATATCTCTACTTGTACATTTGAACTTTTTTTATTTTCATGGCCATTTGTATTCTTATGAGAACTGCCTTTTGGCCATTTACTCTCTTTTAGTATTCATCTTTTCCGTAATCTATAAGAATTTGTCTTTTAAATAGCTTAAAATTCTATGTCATAAATGACTCAGTTTGGTTTTTTAAGATACTAACCTTGTTCATGCATTTTTTGTGCTTTTTCAACCTTGTTCACTAATTTTCTGAAATATTTATTTGATCAGAATTTCCTTTATGATTTCTGGATTACTAACTTAGAATAGAGTAATTGAAAGGTCTTCTTCACTTCAAGATTATCAAAATGTACATCTGCATTTTCATGTTTTTACAGGTTTGTTTTCCTCCCATCTTTGAATCTAATCCATAGTGATTACTTTTTGGCATAAGGAGTGATAATGTGCTAATACACTGCCTCCCCATTTGTCATGTTCTACTTTGGTTTTAAAACTTGACCAACTTGACCAGTAAAAAGCAAAACAACAACAAACAGGGTACAGGCAGACTTACTGTGGCAGAATGCTTCACAGTTTGAGTGTGTCTTTCATATTCATGAGTGGAGACAGGTTGGGAGGGGAAGAGTGGGCTGGGGAGTGGTAATTGGCATTCCCCCTTTAGAGTTGTCTTCTGGGAATGTGTGTATAGAAGAGAGAATTAAGATTCTGGCAGAATGTCTTTTAGCTCTTTCCCATTTCTCTTCTCTTAGTCACCTCTGAGTTTTTTTTATCAAGGGAAGCAAAACTGTAGTTGGGTGACATAAGATACCAGTTGATGAGAGAACTTAGATACGTGATTTGAGTTTTGAGTCTGTACTGATTTTGAAGATCAAGTGTTCTCTTTCCATAATGAAGCCATGAACTTTGGTGGACAAGCCTTGTATTTTTAGCATTTATTTCAACATATATTCTTAGTTCAGAAATCAATGAAGAGTGAAGAGTTTTTTCCATTCCCCTCTTGGAACATAAATTCCCTGACCACTGAGTAAATGCTGTTAAGTTTCTTATATGTGTTTCAGACATATCGAGCACTATTTTTGACAACTACATACTGCTGAATGTTCAGCTGGTGAAATCGAAAGTCTTTCACTCAGAAGAAATAAATCAAGAGGGTAAGAAACAGAAATTAATTTACAGCTTTGAAATGTTCTTTTTGTCAAATAGTAAGGAGTCATCAAGATTATTTAAGATAATCCCTTTTGAAAATGAAATCAATTTAGAGGTGCAGGCTTATGGCTCAGTAGTTAACTCACAGCTTCATACACCCACATTCTACATCAGAGTGCCATGTTTGAGTCTTGACTCCATTTCTGGACTAGTTTTCTGTTAATGGTCACCCTGGGAGGCAGTAGGTGATAAAAAGAGCAAGTCAAACTTCAGTGTTAATCTCACTCTTGCTGCAGCCTCCTTCTGTCTTACACTTTGACTCTTGGGAGAAAAAGTTGTCTTTGCTAATAAGGATATAGAATATAAATGGAGAAGTAAGACATACACACACACACACACACCTGGAACTGGACTTTAGAGAGTTTGCTAATTATCACATTGTATTGTGTGACTTAAAATACAGAATGTAGGGCAGGCATTTGTAGTTAAGTACCGGTTAAGAAACCTGTGTCCCAGGGGCTGGCACTGTGGCACTGGCATACCTTATGGATGCTGGTTTGTGTCCCAGCTGCACCTCTTCTGATTCAGGTCTCTGCTATGGCCTGGGAAAGCAGTGGAAGATGGCCCACATGCCTGGGCCCTTGCACCCACGTGGGAGACCCAGTAAAAGCTCCTGACTCCCAGCTTCAGATCTGCGCAGCTCCGGCTGTTGTGGCTATTTGGGGAGTGAACCAGTGGATGGATGACTTTTCTCTCTCTCCCTCTCTGTCTGTAACTGTCTCTCAAATAAATAAATAAATAAATATATTTTTTAAAAAAGATACCCATGTCACACATCAGGACACGTGGATTCAGTACCTAACTTCTGCTCCTGATTCTGACTTCCTGCTAATGCAACCCCTGAAAGGAGCAGTGATGGCTCAAGCATCTGGTTTCCTGCCACTCAGATGGGAGACCTGGACTGTGTCCCCAGCTCCCAGTTTCAGCTGTGAATCTAGACATTGCAGGCATTTGGGGATGGTGAATAAGAGGATGGGCGCTCTCCCCAAATAAGTAAATATTAATTGAAAAAGATATGGAAAAGCTGGTGCCACAGCTCACTTGGCTAATCCTGTGGCTCTGGCACCCCAGGTTCTAGTCCTGGTCGGGGCACTGGATTCTGTCCCGGTTGCTCCTTTTCCAGTCCAGCTCTCTGCTGTGGCCCAGGAAGGCAGTGGAGGATGGCCCAGGTGCTTGGACCCTGTACCCACATGGGAGACCAGGGGAAGCACCTGGCTCCTGGTTTCATATCGGTGCAGCGCACCGGCCGCAGTGTGCTAACCATAGTGGCCATTGGAGGGGGGGTGAACCAACGGAAAAAGGAAGACCTTTCTTTCTGCCTCTCTCTGTCTCACTATCTAACTCTGCCTATCCAAAAAAAAAAAAAAAAACCATATATATATATATATGGAAAGCACTCAAAATAGAAAAGACTATTGTGACCAGAAGTAGATAAGATGTGCCTAGATGGGAAAAAACAAGGAGTATTGAGATATTGCCATGTTTATTTTATTTTTTAAGGGAAAAAGTTTATTGTAGGAAACCCAACAGACCAGAGGGAAGGGGCAAAGAAGGAAAAAAGGGAGAAGGAGAGCATAGAGCGAGATCAAGAGAGAGAGAGAGAGAGAAAAAGATCAAGAGAGGGAGAGTGACAGAGCCACGTGTTCAAGAACAGGTCCTGTTAAACATTTGCTGGAGGGCGGGCAGGGAAGTAGGAGCAGCGAATCCCATTAGGATGGGGGTGTAGCTGACACCAGTGGATGGGCCATGTGGTCACCTGGCTTCCAGCAATGGTGGCAGGGGTTAGAGCCTAGGATGGTGTCAGGGGTGTAGATGACGCCATAGACAAGACTGCGCCATTTTACTAACATTTCCCCCTTTTGTTTTTTATAAAGCAGCAGTTGTATGGGATTACATTAGTCTCAAAAGTACAGGAGGGGTAGAGGGATGATGATTTGTCTTTAGAGCTACTTCTTGCTGACATGGGGACCACGAGTTACTCTCTGTTGGCATGGGGCAATGTCTCAAGCCACTGTCTCCTGGGTGGGGAGCAGAGTATATCTCTGTAGCAGCATTTGATTGACTGCCTGGTTGGTAAAGGCCTTGGTTTGTTCCATTATCAACTCCTATAAATGCTTAGACACAGTAATATGAAAATCAAGTGAGAATAGCAGCCAGTGACCCTAAGAGTGTCATTAACCAAGTAATGAGAGGATTTCATAGAAGACAGGAAATGAGGGGGTGGTCTCTGGACCCTTGTGAAAATTGTTTGATGGATGTGATTTAAAGCTGATCTCAACCAAGACTGGGAGAAAGGCCACTCATCTTTTGCATGTAGAGGGGTTTGTCTATAGAGAAATTCTGAGCAATCATACAACATTAAGTGGTGGAGAGGACCATCAATACAGATCAATACATATTAACCCTAATGTTAACCCAGGGTCAATCCCTTGGTGAACCCACCTTCCTATAGGACATTAACCTTCACCCTCCACAGTGAATTCTAGATTCCCAGGAGCCAGTGCCCCAGATGACTTTAGATGAGAGGTACCTTTCCGAAGCCCCTCAGCATATCCCTCCTCATACTCTTATTTATTTATTTATTTAAAAGAGAGAGAGAGAGATTTCAAGGGAGGCATATCTTCCATCTGTTGGTTCATTCTCCAAATGCCTGCAACAGGACTGGGCCAGGCTGAAGCCAGAAGCCAAGAACTTCATTCTGGTCTCCCTGTGCCATGTTTACACGTTGCCTTGGGCTTTACTTCTCCTTCTGCCTCTAAGTCCTTATCGCCTCTGTGGTTGTAGAAGATGTCCAGTAACCACTTATGCATGAATGTCTTTAGATCGAGACCAGTGCTCATAGTGCCAGGAAAGCCCTGGGGGATTCTGAATTGTAAACCTCTGCCTTCATATCTGGAGCAGAGCTGATGCTTCAGTTGTCACCATGGTCTGAATGCTCATTGTACAAAGCTCTATTTCCTTGTCTCAGCTGAAGGTTTTGTGAAAAGCAAGTGTCCTGGGAGATTCTATCTGTGATCCAATCTGATATATGGTTACTGAATAGACTGGTCTAGGGAACAAATCTCAGTGCTAAAGGCACAACTTTAATTAAGTGATTACTGTCCAGACTGAGCTTGGATTCAGCCAGAGAGGCAAAATTCTGACTTCGGGTGTTTGGGGCAAATAAAAGTCATTTCCTGGTCTCAAGAGGTGGTTGTCCTGTTTGTCTTTGGAAGACTCTCTCAGGTAGAGTCTCCAGTTTCATCTTACCCACCATCACCAGCCACTGTGAATAATTATTGCTATAGAGGTTTTCTTTGATTTTCTAGAATCCGTATCAAATGACATAGCTGAAAAAGACTCTTGGGTTTTTGAACCTGGTATTAGTGATATCCATCTGCTGGTTTACTCACCAAGTGGCCACAATGGCCAAGGCAGAGCCATGCTGAAGCCAGGAGCTTCATTCGGATCTCCCATGTGGGTGCTGAGGCCCAAGTACTTGGGCTATCCTCCACTGCTTTGCTAGGCCATTAGCAGGGAGCAGGCTTGGAAGTGGGGCAGCCAAGGCACGAGCTAGCTCCATATGAGATGCCAGTGTCACAGGTGGTAGCTTTACCCACTATGCTACAATGCTGGCCATTTTCACTTTTTTTTTTTTTTAAGAAAAATGTGTTTATTGGGGCCAGCTCCAAGGCTCACTTGGTTAATCCTCTACCTGCGGCATTGGCATCCCATATGGGAGCTGGGTTCTAGTCCTAGCTGCTCCTCTGTTGTGTCCCGGGAAGGCAGTGGAGGATGGCCCAGGTGCTTGGGCACCTGCACCTGCGTGGGAGACCAGGAAGAAGCACCTGGCTCCTGGCTTCGGATTGGTGCAGCTCCGGCCGTAGCGGCCATTTGGGGAATGAGTCAACGGAGGGAAGACCTTTCTCTCTGTCCCTCTCTCACTGTTTAACTCTATCTGTCAAATACATTAAAAAAAATTATAATAAAAAAAAACGTATTTATTTATTTGAAAGGTAGTTTCAGAGATAGAGAGAGACAGAGAGATCTTCCATCTACAGGTTTGCTCCCCAAATGGCCACAATATCTTGGGCCAGACCAGGCCAAAACCAGGAGCCTGGAACTCCATCTGGGTCTCCCATGTGGGTGACAGAGGATCAAGCACTTGGGCCATCTTCTACTGCTTTCCCAAGCATGTTAGCAGGGAGCTGCTGGATTGGAAGTGGAATAGCTAAGACTCAAACCAGTGCTTATATGGGATACCAGTGTCGCGGGCCATTGCTTATCCTATAAATTTGCACCATTATGCTGGCCCAAAATCTTTTATTTGTTTTTTCATCATGGTAAAGAAGAGAAAGTTTTTGTTTGTTTTATGGTAGATTTATGATTTAACTCACAGTTATACATTCCTTATCCCTTTCTGTCCTTCCAGGCAGCTGGGACAAAAATCATAGTTGGTAATAAGTTGTTATTTGTTTAGAACAAAGGATTGGTTTTCCCAACATAAAGGACATGTTTCAACCTTAATCTAGATGTGAAAAGCTAAAATATATTTTTGGTTGTTGATATCCATTGGCTTGTTAAATGAGATTCAGGACAGAATTTTTGGTTTTTCTTTAGAACTTTCGTTCTGTTCTTTGTCCTAGGGCAGGTAAGTGAAGTGTTATTTGAAAAATGTGTTTGAAGTTATAGAACATTAACCTGATCTCTAATAAATCCTCCAGAACCCACGGCTTACGTGTTTTTGAGCTACTGTGGATGGACCTGGCTCTCTTGACTGCCCTTCCAAGTAGGATGTCACTGAGATCCCTCAAATGGAGTCTCCTGCTGCTGTCACTCCTGAGTTTCCTGGTGATGTGGTACCTCAGCCTACCTCAGTACAATGTGATTGAACGTGTAAACTTGATGTACTTCTATGAGTACGAGCCAATTTACAGACAGAACTTCCGCTTCACTCTCCGGGAGCATTCAAACTGCTCTCATCAAAACCCATTTCTGGTCATCCTGGTGACTTCTCATCCCTCAGATGTGAAAGCCAGACAGGCCATTAGAGTTACTTGGGGTGAAAAAAAGTCTTGGTGGGGATATGAGGTTCTTACATTTTTCTTATTGGGCCAACAGGCTGAAAAGGAAGACAAAATGTTAGCATTGTCTTTGGAGGATGAACACCTTCTTTACGGTGACATAATACGACAAGATTTTTTAGACACCTATAATAACCTGACCTTGAAAACCATTATGGCATTCAGGTGGGTCACTGAGTTTTGTCCCAATGCCAAGTACATCATGAAGACAGATACTGATGTTTTCATCAATACTGGCAATTTAGTGAAGTATCTTTTAAACTTAAACAATCCAGAGGAGTTTTTCACAGGTTATCCTTTAATTGAGAACTATTCCTACAGAGGATTTTACCAAAAGACCCATATTTCATACCAGGAATATCCTTTCAAAGTATTCCCTCCATATTGCAGTGGGTTGGGCTATATAATGTCCAAAGATTTGGTACCAAGGATCTATGACATGATGGGTCACGTAAAACCTATCAAGTTTGAAGATGTTTATGTTGGGATCTGTTTGAATTTGTTAAAGGTGGACATTCATTTTCCAGAAGACATAAACCTTTTCTTTTTATATAGAATCCATTTGGATGTCTGTCAGCTTAGACGTGTGATTGCAGCACATGGCTTTTCTTCTAAGGAAATCATCACCTTTTGGCAGGTTATGCTCAGAAATACCACATGCCATTACTAACTTCACACTCCATCAGAAACCTAGAGGACAGGAAACTGTGCCAAGCGCTGAAGCTGGTACTATGGGAAACTCATAGGAAGGTCAGTGTGTTGGCTTACACTGAATCAAAAGTCATGGAGAACCCATAGACTGGAGACTGGAAGTCACACATTGCTGTGATTTATTTGGATATAAATCAAGTCAGGCCCTTTAAAGGTAATATTCAGATGAATAAATTTATCTTACAAAGGAATTTGCTTTTTTTTTTAAACTAGGACCAAACAATTTAAACACATCATTCTATAGATTAGACTTTCTTAAAGATTTCACCAAATTCTGAACTCATTAGGCCTTTATAAGAAAGCAGTGTAGAGTTCTGTTTATTGAACAATCCAGTCACTTAAGGGTTTCATGTGTCTCTTACATGGATTTCCAATTTACAAAAATCTGTGTTTCTGTGTGAGAAACTTCCCTGAAGTTATACTGAACAAAATTTCATGTTTTTGGTCATTCATAAGGTACTTCCAAATATTGCAGTATTTTAGAGTTATAAATTATTATTTATTACTTTGTGTGTGTTTACATGCTATGGTGATTTCTATATTGTAAAAATAGAACAATGAATCTTTTTTTACATTTGAACTTTGTTCTAGTTACTTCACTGGTCAGTTTGTTATCAATAGCCTCATCAATGTGAAGTCATAGGTTATTATTGCATATCAATAATCTCTTGGAATTTGTAATATATTTTACTGTGGTAATATAGAGAATGATTAAATCAAGAAAACTTGAATTATTGTCTTTTTTTAAAAAAAATATAGTCCCCAGTGTTTTTAGATGTCATTTCTTCTGTCTCATTTTTCTGCCTGGAAATTAGGAATAATGTAGAATGCTAGTCAGTGTGTTTCCTTTTGGAAAGGACTCTGGGCAAAAAAGAAAGGAGAGAAAATAATGCCCACAGTATTATGAAGAGTGTCATCCCAGCATTGGCATTCCAAGAAGAGTGAAGATTCAAGTTGCACTGTTAATCTGTCCCCATGTATTTTCTCATTAATAGTTTGTGAATAAAGAAGAAAAAAAAAAAGAGAAAAGCTGTTGTTAGTTTCTCATCAAAATGAAAGCCCTAATGTGTGGAGTCTAACTCTGATTCAGATCTCGTGTGTGTGATTTTTTTAAAAAGATTGATTTATTTATTTGAACAACATAGTTGCTGACAGAGGAAGAGAGAGAGAGAGGTCTTCCATCTGCTGGTTCACTGCCCAAATGCCTGCAACTGCTGAAGCTGGGCCAATCGGAAGCCAGGAGCCAGGGGCTTCTTCTGGGTTTCTCACATGAGTGCAGGGACCATCTTCCATTGCTTTCCAAAGCCACAGCAGGAAGCTGGATTGGAAGAGAAGCAGCATCCATATGGGATGCCAGTGCCACAGGTGGAGGCTTTGCCCACCGTGCCACAGCACTGGCCCCCAATATCATGTGTTTTCATAGAAGGACATTTCTTATAAAAGTGGTGAAGTATCTTTTGTTGGCCAGCAACTGGCTAGTGAAAGAGGAGTTCATGTTGCTCTCATACTCGTAGGATTATGCAGTTTTCTATTAGAGTTGTTATGGGACAAGTGATTCATTTTTTCTGATTACATGATGACAAAGATCAAATCTTGAAAATAGGTAGTCAGATCTTGAAATTGATTCAGAGTTTCATGATTCTCCTATAGGAGAAATCTAACTACAATTAAAACTACTATAATGTATGATTCTCTATAACTGGTTATTTCTGTTTCTCTGGAACCAGACCTGATCCAGTTACAATAAAATCAGTTAAATATTCTGTGAAATTAATCTGTGTCTTTGCTAATTCCTAGCTCTGTGGGAATTAACTTTTTTTTAAAGATTCATTTTTTAAAAGCAGAGCTATAGAGACGGGGAGAGACATAGAGAAAGAGATCTTCTATCCACTGGTTCATTCCCCCAAATGGCCACAGCAGCTGGACTGGGCCAAGTGGAAGCCAGGAAACTGAAACTCCGTTTGCTGGTGTCAGTGTTGAGTGAGCAGCTTAGCCACTGTTCACAGCACTAGCCCCATGAGTCACTTCCTTTAAGACAAATAGTTGTGGTTCTTTTTTTTTGGTATGATTAGATTCGATAGGTTTTGCAGAAGATTACGTTGATGTTTTGGAAGCTAACTCAAAGGACTTTTAGAATTTTTAAAACAATAATGGGGTAGGTGTTTATCCTAGTGATTAAGATAACACCTGTGTCTCATATCAGACTGCCTGGGTTCAATACCTGCTTCTGTTCCTGCCTGCAATTTTCTGCTAATGCAGACACCGGGAGGTAGTGTTGATGACTCAAGTAATTGGGTTTCTGCCACCCACATGGGAAACCTGGATTAGGTTCTTTTTTTAAGATGTATTTATTTATTTGCAAGTCAGAGTTACTCAGAGAAAGGAGAGGCGTGGGGCGGGGATCTTCCATCCGCTTGTTCACTCCCCAATTGGCTGCAACAGCCGGAGCTGTGCCGATCCGAAGCCAGGAGTTTCCTCCGGGTCTACCACGTGGGTGCAGGGGCCCAAGGTCTTGGGGCATCTTCTACTGCTTTCCCAGGCTATAGAAGAGAGCTGGATCAGAAGAGGAGCAGCCGGGTCCCCAACCAGCACCCATATAGGATGCCGGTACTTCAGGCCAGGGCTTTAACCCGCTATGCCACAGCGCCAGCCCCTGAATTAGATTCTTTACTTTAGGCTTTGGCCCAGCTTAGCCCTGGCCATTGTCAGCATTTCACAAATGAACCAGTGGATGGGAGCTCTTTATCTTGCTTTTTCACTGTCTGCATATCAAATAACTAAAGACAACTTTTAAATAATGAGACTGAAAACCCATAAGTAAAATGTGAAGGATTGCCAAATTTCTGATTTTTTTTCTTGTGAACTAATGACTTACGGATAAAAGATTTCTCGAAAGTTAAATTATTATAAAAATATTAAGAGATTGCAGATTGCATCATTATACTTTAACTACATGTGTTTTTTTTAACACTCTAAAGCTTGCAGGTTGTACATATTAGCTATGTTACTAAAATTGTGACCTCTGATGTTTAATCACATCAACAGCTTTTTAATTTTGATGCATGTGCAAAGTTTACTACTAGAGCTTATCCCTAGGATGATTCTGGCTTGTCTGCACAGCCCTGCCATCTCTGTGATCTTAACATGTCTTGCCTTGCTATTTTACTTTGCTTCTCTCTAAGTATTGAGTATATGACCCCTAGCATATCAGTTAGCTTTTGCCAGATTATACTGGAGTAACTCCCAACTCTCAAAAGTTGACAACAACCATGTTTGCACTCACTCTGTCTTCATTCTTTTTTCTCAACTGGTTGCCAGCAGTTGGCTGTAACCCTGTGCCGGGTGTTGCTTCATTCCAGGACTCAGGCTGAAGGGCAGTTCCTTTCTGGAACACACCATTCTTATGTTGGTGGGGGGGGAGTAGCTGCTGGAGACAGCTGCTGGCCAGAAATCCCATGCCCAGTCCAGTGTCAAGAGGTAGGGAAATGCCTTCTCACCAGAGGGAGCTGCATGTCTTGTTGCAGCATATAGGAGTGTATCCTCCTACAGAGTGGGGAATGATTACAGAGGATCATTCCTGAATCTGCTATCCCTGCTCTGTGAAAGGGAGAGGGGGCTTAAGGTATACAGTTCGTTTTTCATTTGAAGATTTATTTATTTGAAGGGCAGAGTTAGAGATCTTCCATCTGCTGATTCACTCCCTAAATGACTACAACTGTGTGGGCTGGGCCATGCTAAAACCAGGAGCCTGGAATTTCTTCTAGATCTCCCATGTGAGTAGCAGTGGCCCAAGCACTTGGGTCATCTACTGCTACCTTCCCAGGCAGGTTAGCAGGGAGCTGCTGGATTGGAAGTGGATCAGCTGAAACTCAAATGAGCACTCATAGGGGATGCCAGGGTTGCAGGCAGCATCTTAACCCACTGCATCACAACACCGGCCCAGGTGTACAGTTCTGAGACTGGATCAAGTGGGTCAGAGTTTTTCTGCTTCACTTGGCATTGGTGTTTTGGGCTTTTAGTCCTTTCCTGAAAACTCTGCTTTTCACCCTCCTTAATCTTTCTAGGCTCCACCCTAAATGTTCTTGATATTATCATATTCCCATCAACTCCCTCCCCTCAACCATCCTCCTGATGCAGAGCAGCCAGAACTGAGTTCGCTCGCTCGCTCGCTCTCTCTCTCTCCATATATATATATATGATGTATTTCTTTTTTTTTAACTTTTACTTAGTAAATATAAATTTCCAAAGTACAGTTTATGGATTACAATGGCTTTCCCTCCCCCCATAACTTCCCTCCCCCTCGCACCCCTCCCATCTCCCGCTCCCTCTCCCATTCCATTCACATCAAGATTTATTTTCAATTATCTTTACATACAGAAGATCGATTTAGTATATATTAAGTAAAGATTTCATCAGTTTGCACCCACACAGAAACACAAAGTGTAAAATACTGTTTCATTACTAGCTATAGCATTACTTCACATTGGACAGCACATTAAGGACAGATCCCACATGAGAAGTAAGTACACAGTGACTGCTGTTGTTGACTTAACAAATTGACACTCTTGTTTACGGCATCAGTAATCTCCCTAGGCTCTAGTCATGAGTTGCCAAGGCTATGGAAGCCTTTTGATGTATGATGTATTTCTGAGCATGAGTTAGGGATCAAGTTCTTTTACTTGGGGCTTGGTGGGCATTATTGCCGAATAGAGGGATTGGAAGGGATTAATTTTAAGAGGGGAGAAGTATGCTTGCAGGAAACATGGTGCACTTGTCCTGCCATCTTCAGGGTTCTTACATCATTTAATCCACTAAGACTTAACCTTTAAATTAAAGCAACTCACCTGGGTTTTGTGTGAGCCAATGACTGACTCTCACCAGGCTCTTTACTACTTTGTCAGATTCCTGATTATCCCACTTGCAGTTATATGGGACCAGCTTTTCGAGGAGTCCATCAAAATAAGTGGCATATACCGATGTTTAAAAAAGTTTTGTTGTGATTTTTGTGAGCCTAAAATTATTTAAAATAAAAAGTATGTGTGTGTGTGTGTGTGCGTGTTTTATGTGATCTGAACTATGTGTGTCCAGATACTGCCAAATCCTTGATGTTTAACTCTCCCATTTATATCCAGGCAGAAT